GGTATCGGTGCATCCCTAGGTAATACTGTGACATATGATTAACATTTCATAACCGTTCAGAGTCAGGGATTGAACAGATGTCTGAATCTCTCTAAAACAGATAATAATGGATGAAAAAATGTTCACTGAAAACAGAAACTATTGTTTGGGTTTCGGTTCCATTTTTTAGGCTTTCTGGTTTTTATTTTTCAGACTGGTTCTTCAGTACTGGTGCTCAATGTTCCACCAGTCAACACTATGCTACTTAATGCTAATTACTTCAAACAAATTACATTCAGATTTAATATTTTGGAAAAGTGATGGTCCTTGTGTTTGAAAAGAAGGCGACTGCACTTTTTAGAGTCCAAGAGGCTTCTTCAGTTTTTAAAACCAGACTTTTCCAGCTCCTGAGACTAACATGACCTGGACAACTGAGATCCTACACAGACAGACATATGGCCCTAGTACAGGGGTGGGCAATCTCAGTCCACGAGGGCCGGTGTCCCTGCAGGTTTTAGATGTGTCCTCGAACCAACACAGCTGATTTAAATGGCTAAATTAGCTCCTCAACATGTCCTGAAGTTCTCCAGAGGCCTGGTAACGAACTAATCATGTGATTCAGGTGTGTTGACCCAAGGTGAGATCTAAAACTTGCGGGGACACCGGCCCTCGTGGACTGAGATTGCCCACCCCTTCCCTAGTGTTACTTTTTGAAACTATAATCTTGTCATGGTTTGAAGTTATGTCATGTTTTATTTAGTCATCAGTGACTTTGTGCATTTCTGGCAATATTATTTCCTCACTTTGTTACTTTTATGATTGGCTAACCTGTCTAACTTAGTCAGCCTGTTACCATATTAAGTGTACCACCAGCCATCCACCTCCCACTTGCCAAAATCCACTGGCTTCAGTGCTTCTTGCAGTCTGTTAGTTTCCTTGCATGGCTACTGCTTGTTTTGAATTAAAGAGCTGGATGACAACTGTACCTTCCAATCTGTCGTCTTCCTAAATGCTCCTTCCATATTACAAATCAGTCATTCTCCTTGTTCCAGAGATTATCATATCACGAAGATCCAAAAATGCCCTACCTGTTTATCCTCTTCAGCTACAGTCAGAGCGCTCTCCAGCTCTTCCAGGTCTCGTCTGAGGCTGCTGCACTCGGCCTCCAGCCTGTCTCTGTGAAGGGCCAGCTGGGCTGAGCAGACCTCCTCCTCCTCCAGCTGCCGCTCCAGCTCGCGCCTTGCCTTCTCCAGTTGGGCACAGCGATGCTCAGATACCTGAGCACTCTCCTGCTCCTGGGGGTTAAGAGTTAAATCACTTACTTTTCAACTGACTGAATCTGTATTATGGAGATTATTGCATTGGCTGGATTTCATTTTGTGCCAGATATCCTACGAATAACATTTTTTGTCCAGTTTTACTGTTTTTTGCACAGTCCTCAGACCTTGTATCAACTTCTAATCTAGTTGTAAAAGATCTTTTATGCAGCAACATAATAGTTTTGTCAAACTCAGTGTCGGTGGAGTTTAAAGAAGGGCAAGATAAGGTAAGAAAAAGCTGACACTGTTAGTAAAAGGCTAAAGATAAACATGTAATATAAAGGGATTTGCTGAATTAAAGAAGCTGAAGCAAACCTCAAGACGTTCATGCAAAGATAATCTTACCACGGGATGAAATTTATCCTCTTTCACAAAGAACCGTCTCTCTGTCAGTGTGCACTTGCCTTAATATAGTACTGCTAAGAAGTAACACGGTCACGTGTATTACCAACCAGATAAGCAAGTTCTACCAAACACCAGATCACTTAATCAGTTGCCATCCATAACAGTAGTGAAAGGGCCACATTATGAGAGCTTTGCTTTTGTTACAGTTACTTTCTTATAGGCCAGTCATCATGGGCAAGGCATTTAGAAATGAGCAAATAGCATACCCAGATATCTGGGCATTTGTGAAATGATCAAGCGACCACATTTCCATCTGCATTTATTTCCATAAAAGTACTTGGTTGGAGGACTTTCCGTGCTTTTTTTAAAAGTTCCTCGCACAAGTTTCTGTGCAAAGCTGTTTGCACCTTTAACCCTTTTACCTCGTCACTACTAAACAGGTATTACCAGGTATGAATGGAATACAAGCACTTAACACACAAAGGGTATGTGCAAACAAATTTGCACATACATTCATTTTTCTATAGTGAGATATGCAATACACAGAACTGCAGAAAGGAAGTTGTTCAGTCAAGCTATACAATAGCTTGTCCTACCTGTACTTATAATTCTGTAAAAATCTTTTATTACAGTACCATCCTGCCCTTGGGTTTCATAATGCACTGGCATTTTCTACATTAGAAATTTATGTAGCAGTCTCTTAAATTGACATTATCCCTTAAGTTGATAGATCATGAGTGTGATTCCACTGTCTTTTAATGGACTGTAATTAAGATGTAATTATAAAAGGGAGCTTAATATCAATGGCCTTCTTTAAGCTAAAACCAGTAAAAACAACAACATTGGCATTGTACAAACATCTATCAGATACTGTTGTGCTGGAGACTGAATTCTTAAACCAAAAGAAACTGTTTTGTGATACATTGTAAACTATAAAAATATATATAAATTCCCCTCTTGCCCCTGCGGGCCATCAATCTTTCAAGCTCAGGTCCTCTACCAGAGGCCTGGGAGCTTGAGGGTCCTGTGCAGTATCTTAGCTGTTCCTAGGACTGTGTTCTTCTGGACAGAGATCTTGGATGTTGTTCCTGGGATCTGCTAAAGCTACTCAGCTAGCTTGGGAGTCACTGCACCTAGGCTCCGATTCCTGCCCCGGGTGTCTCTATCCGGTAAGGGTCCTAAGCTAGAACCCCTATACTAAATCAAGCCTACCCGGATTAACAAGGTCCATGTCGGGTGTTGAGGAACCAGGACACCCTGATGAGAAGTGGGCTACTGGAACAAGACGGCATCGATACTGTCCTTCATAGCTGGTTCCTCACAGGCTACATCCTTCGACCTGTAATTATCAGTTATCTACCTGTTTAAATTTTACTCTTCGCTATCCATTTTTCTGTTGCTTTTAGCTACTAGGGTAGGCCCAGCTAGAATCCCCATGATAAAACACACATCCTTAATAATTCTGTAAAGAACAACATTTGTTAAGTGTTATACCTTGTTTACCTTT